AAGATGGAGCAAAGACAGATGTTGGCACCATCATCAAGGAAAACAAGCGGACGCTGTTTGGGCACAAGCACGAGGTCTGGTCCGAAATGACATGGGGCAAAGGACTGGCGGAATCTCTTGATGCCGCTGAGCGGGCAATGCTAAAGCTCGCCGAAAGGCCCGAGCCCCGGCCGTACGTCATCGTGATCTCCTGGTCTGGAAATGATGTCATTGGGCGCAACGGGTACATCGAAAACCCCGCCGCCCTAGCGGGCTGGGCCACTGACTCCGAGGCAAAGCGCAAGGCTGCGATGGACATCATCGAACGGAACGCCCGCGCAGTGATGACTGTCCGTGACCGGCTGCGGCATATTGCTTATCGGGAGGACGTGATTCAGGTCGTGCTCATCGTACCCCGGGACTTTGAGACGTACGGATTGAGCGAATCTTACAAGACTCAAATGGACGGTCATGCACGTCTGTTGCACGGTTCCGTAGGAATCACCGTCCTCGACCCCCAGACTCTCATATCCAACACGTCCCGGGCAGACCGCATCCACACCGATGACACCGAGCGCAACAGAAAACATTACATCAACTTCTATGTGGCCGCCGCGAAGCTCGGGTACTGCATCGGCCAAATCAACCGCTTCGCAGGGGCTATGAACTGGTACCTCCTCGAAAGGGAATACATGAACATCGACACATCTATTCCCATCGTCGGTGCCACACCCCAGGAAACTGGCGGTCCGGCTGTTGCGAAGAACCCCGAGGACCCGTTCGACAACGAGGTCCGCGAGAGGGAGCTTGAAGCAATCAATGAGATTGCTGCGCAAGAGCCGAAGCGCGAACTGTTCCTGGAAGCCGAGAAGGAAGCGAATCCTCTTTATCCTCTCGATACGGTCAAGGAAGAGGCGAAGATTTTGCAAATGATGCAGCCCGACATCCACGCGGCGACCGTCAGCGGCCTCAATGACGTTATTGATTGGTCCTTATCGTCCGTTGAGGAGGACTTAATCAGCTTTGACCTGCCCCCGGGCTCTCAGCCCAAGGTCAGCCGGCCGAAAGGCCAGGCCGTTGAGGTTGCCGCAGTGGATCCGAACGATGTCGGCGAGGACGGCCAGATCAAGCTGTTCCTCACTTCCAAACGGAAAAGTCATAACAAAATGACTGCAGCTCTCAGTGCTGCGACACCAAAGGTGAAATCAAAGGCGATGCCAATGCCTGCTGCCTCATCCAGCGGTCAGGCGCCCGTGGCTGGGACTGGCAAGACTCAGCCCGGAGAGATCCGTGGCCCGGAGAACATCCCCAAGGCGAAGGCAGTTCCCAAAGCTGCTTCAAGCCCGGGGAGACCCGTGGCCAGGCTGCTGAACCCAAGAGGGAGTGGATCAAGTGCTCAGGAATCAAGATTCCCCAGATCCAGAACTATGGCAGAAGGACGTTCCTGAGCAAGAAGGTGTCGTATTTGGTTCGCGGACATGCCCACGAACATGCGACACGGTCCATCCCTGAGATCAATCTCAAGGACAACTCCTTCGACTATGCAGCCGTTGCCAAGTGGATCCAGCGCCGATATGACTGGAACTGCTCCCAATACACTCTGCTTCAGGCCACGTCCACATCGAATCGGTTCGAGGTCTATGTCGAGTACGCGCCGGCCGGACAGCAATGGAACGGGCTCAGTTTCATGCCCCTACGCATTCGCGCGTTCACCGGCCACAACGATTGGGTGACTGAGGCCAGTGGCTTTGACAACATTCCTGGAGATCCCATTGCAATGGATGTCAACTACTCCATCGAGCACGCAAAGAAGGGTGTGCGACCGGGCTTCTGCAAAGACTTCTCGGACGCACGCCGAAAGGCGCTGCCCAAGATCGCCTACCACACGTGCAACATGCAGAACTTCTTTGACATCATCTACATGGGCATCTTTCCGGGCGGCATGGGGGACCGGCAAACCTCGCGTGGTCACGCCTACCTAACGGTGGTGCCTCCTTGGGACAGGCATGGCCGGAAGGCGGGGGGTGCGCGTGCTGACCGACCCATCAACATCGCCGTCGATGTGGAGATGTTGATTCAATTGGGGTGTCGGCTGTACGCACCCGGAGACGGGGAAGCCCTGGTGACGGAGGATTGGATCACGAACAAGGTCCTCATCTACGCCTACGACGCTGAATGTGCCAAGTTTATCTGGTCCAACCGGATGTACGTCAGCGTCAGGCGGAACTACCAGGAGAGCATCAAGAAGTACCGAGAAGAGACCCAGAAAGGCGTCGTCGGTACCCCGGTGCTGGAGTCCTTCATGGCCAACCTCGAGAAGGAATGCAAGGCCTACTACAAGCAATGGGCTCCAACGGCGTGCCGTGACTTGACTCGGCCCCATCGCATCGGCAACATCACGAAAGTCAAGAATGTCTTCGATGAAAATCTTCCGAAGGACGAGCAAGTCATGCTTGAGTTCGAGACGGCTCGCTACGGCCTCTACCGTAATTGGGCCCGTGCTGTGACGCAGCAGCCCGGGGAAACCCGAGGCCGGAGTGGCTTGTGGCAGGAGCTCGACCCCAACCGGAAGAAGGCCACAAACTGGCGGTTTGCCGAAGTGATGCATATTCCTGATGTCGCGTGCGATCGCTGCCAGATTCTCATTCCAGTTGGCACTATCAACTGCTTTCAATGCGGCCAGTTGATGGAACGGATGCCGGACATCAAGAAGATTGCCAGGGTGGTCCGGTTGCAGGAGATGGCCAACACATTGGGCGTGCCGTTGTCCATGGACCAGGTTGAGACTCAGATCTTGACGCAGCGAAAGGATGCGCGGGGGGATAGAAGCGCAAGAGGGGGCCTCGGCATCATGAAGGACATTGCCAAGAAAGCAGTTCTTCGCAACAAGGAGTACACCACGCTCTACGAGAGGCTGATCAATGACCCCTTTTACGCCTACACTGCCGCGCGGGGAGACCTGACGCCGTCCGCCCTCGAGTTCATCGAGAAAGTGGCACGATGCATCATTCCGAATTTCGTGAGAACCAAGGAAATGATCCAAGGAAGCGTGGCTGTGCCGAAATATCACGCACGGCTAACGCTGGTGCCGCCTACGGAGGAGGTGCAGGAGGTCGACCCGAAGGACGTCTACGTTGTGCATGGCGGCAGGTTTCTGGAACCAGAACAATTTGCTGCACTTTACGGAAGCCTTGACAAGAGCAACCGCTACAGCGTGATGGGCTGGACCCGGGATTTCTCGTCTGTGGGAGACCCCGAAATGGTTTTGGTGGAGTTGCTCTGCTTCGTCGAAGAGGAGATCCCCAACATCGAGATCCCTGGGCGGGCCACCCCGCTCCCTGCAGTTGTCGGTGTGACGCGCAAGCCCATTCCGCAGCTCCGGGAGACCGGTGGCCAATGGCAGGATCGTCAATGGAGCCAGTCGTACTGGGGAAGTTGGGGCCAGTCCTGGGACTCGTGGTGGTCTGATGATCAGCGCCCGTGGAAGAGCTCCCGCAATTGGGATTGGCGATGAATGAGCGATCTCTTCGACAATATTTTCTATCTTCGGCTGACATCCATTTACATTTCAAATTCAATTTCCATTATACTTCTCAATCATGTTGGCCGAGGATCAATGTACAGTGCACGAGCACGCCTCGCGAGAGCGACGGTCAGTGGAGGCGGAAGACCTTAGCTACCGATCGCTCAAATCCAAGTGCTTGTGTGCTGCAAAATGACATCATGCCTATCGGGTTTCTTTGGTTGTCTCATCCCTTTCATTTGTCCTCCTGTTTCACATTCGGGCACGGGGGGTGTAGTTTGCAACGTGATGTATTTATCAACCATGTAAACCTCAATGCACGCATGTCTCACTTGTGCAGTCTCATCATTACGACTGCACGTGGCTCAAGGAAAAAGCGCGCTGAGTACAGGGTTCAATTGTGACCCTTCCCGGTTGTTTAACCTGTTCTATACCCTCAAACCACTAAACTTCTAGCAGGGGAGCAGAAAGCAACCGTGATGTGAGATACACCGGTGCATGCGTCCTTCGCTTCAATCAAACCAGCCAGCAAGGGCGCCACATGGGCTTGTCTGCCAATGGAAAAACCCCACAAATGCTTGTTTGCTAGGTGGTTTCGAAAGTTTCACTCGTAGCCCCGGGTTTCCAAACATAAATGACTCTCATGTGGGGGGGTGGGTCTTCTTTTCGGAGGGTGCCCATATTTGGTGCGGCTTTGAAGGAACAAGATGGAAAAAGTGCTTATTTAGTAGGGTTCCCTCCCCCAAAGAAAGAAAGGCACTGACTCGCCGGGAAAGAGAAGATTTCTGCTGCCACCCCTGCGTGTGACGGGAGCTACGGGTTAGAAGCCGAGCATTGTGGGTGATACACTGGCAGCATGTATCATGTCAAACTGCGTCCGCTTCTTCCGATCGAAGATTTGTGACATGTGGATTCAAGTAGGCCACAAAAAGCTTGGTCCAAGTTTATGACGCTTCTCCCAGGTGCATCGACAACTGGATGCCCAAACATGCAAAGCTCCAAACCTCAAAACTCTGTGTGGCACATCCAGCACTCGAAATCCAGTCCCTGCACACGTGGCGTGCTTGTCTTACAGTCATTAGGCGTTCTTGAAATGGCAACCGTTCCAGGGAAGAGAAGGGGGCCATGCTCATGTTTGCAGTCGACTGGTGACCAGACCGGGAGACATGGCACGGCTGGTGGGTATTTGCAGAGGAGTCATTATTTCGGGCAGGATTTCGTCCATCCACAGTACCTCCGCGCCACCCCTCCCCTCATCACATGGCCATGCGTCATAACCTATGCCTCCATTTTGGGGCGGATGAACACTGTACCACCTATTTTGAGGTCCAGGGGTTTCCTGGGCTTTGACCGCCACAGCCACATGGCTGTGGGTCAAAACCAACGGTACCATTTTGGATGGGTGCACCACCCATTGTAGTCTATTTTAGTGGGGATTGGGATCTTGTGGTACGGGGTATTGACAACCACAGCCACATCACTCCCTCCGAAGCGCCAGGCGCAGCGGGCGCTGGCGCTGCGGCCCGCCTTCTGCGAGGCGCTGCTTCTGATGGCCCGAGCCACCGAGGACCCGCTGCCGGCGAAGCAGTGCTGGCTGCAGCGCCTCGCAGTGAAGAGCTCGCTCCGTAGAACCCACAGAGCTCCGCATGGGGGCTTCGGGGATTGGCCTCACTTCCTGAGTTCATGAACTTTAATTTTTTGGGGAAGACCATTTTAGTGGTAATTATAAAGTTTGAACTTTTTTTGGGCCATCCACTCAGCCAGTGAGACAGGGGCACCACGAGAGCCATGGCCATTTGCAGACGAACAGCTTGCAGTCTTCCATTTGCTTAAGAATATGTTTTTTCATGTTCCCCTATTGGTGTTAAAGGGAACCTATCACTAGGTGACATATTTTTTCATTTTTTCCTGGGGTCTTAACCAAATGGAAGGAGCGGTTTGATGGAAATGGCGGGTTCGGATGTCATGGTTTAGGCGTGGCTGCAAAACGGCGAAAGAAGGCGTAGATTCGAGGGTCTATGTTCAAACCATTCAACATTCAACACTCGGTGCACTAAATATGGGCCTAATTGATGGCTTTCCCCGTTAAAAAGCAGAGGGGTTGCCAGACGGTGAAACAAAAATGCAGAGGAGGATTGGCAACAGGCTCACCCCAAGAGCATGCCCACTGTGACCCCAAAAACCCGCCTTGTGCTGAGGGTTCAGCCTACGGTCACAAAGAGCTGCACTGCGAAGCTGCGCAACGCATGCAGCTCTGGCCAAATTCAGCGAGTTTTTGACACGGCTCTGCAATGGCGTGATGGAATTTTGGGATTTTGGCTGCTTGATGGCTCACCTCCTGAGTTCAGTTCCTGGACTTGTTTCTTTTTTGGTTTGGATCATTTTTCGTGGCAAATAAGAAGTTTGGACTTGTTTTCGCCAGAAAACAATCAGGAAGTGAGAATGGGCATGCTGAACTCAACAGGTTCCCGGCCGCTCATCCATTTGTGGCATGAGCCGCCTGCTTAGTCACTCAAGTTTGCTGATGGACGAGCTTTCCTGCAATTGTTGCACTTTGGCTACACAGGTTCCACCCCCAGTGCCTACTGGAAGTGCCACCCACATCAACGCCGCTGTTCCTTAAGCTCAACAGGCCACAGACCAACAGACCAAGGCAAGGAGTTGATGTCGGAGCTGAACCATCCCTGCGACACTCTGCCGAGATCCGGCTCCGTCAGCCTGGGCGCCGAGACCCAAGAGCCTCGGATCCTCGGCGCAATGAGACTCGCGCGCACTAGCTGCCTAGTCCAGCTGCTGCCGCGCCGGCGCGAATGAGCGCACCTATCTATGGCGTTTTCGCAGGACCTTCAAGTCTTCATCTGGTGGAAGTGTGTGAAAGTTCTCACTTTCTCAGCCAAGGACAGAGAGTGCAGGAAAGAGAGAGCTGGTGCAATCCATCCTGGTGGAGGGGTGCAGCATGCAGGGTGTGAATGGGACTTACGAGCCCACCAGGGCGGTGTCCAATCACTTCCCGGTCTTTGCCAATGCCCATGGTTTCAGGTGGGCGCGCGCACATTCAGAGCATTGCCAATTCGGCCGCACTTAAACCAGGTGAGTGAAGATTAGTCAGGCACATTCCAAAGCATAAACAGGTGCAGCACCCCATGTGGCCCCTTGTGATTCTTGGAGCTGTTTTGGAGACCGTGCGATTGGCTTCGGTTCGGAGCACCCGCTGCCAGGCTGTCAATGGAAATGCAGCCAAGCAGGAGCTCTGGGGAGGTGAGGTCCGGCTGGGTCATTGGCAACTTTGGCGCAAGGGAGGCAAAGCAAATAGGAAAGCTTCCCAACCTGCGCAGGGCTCCTTAACAGATACATTTTGCAACCATTTCAAACATGGCTGTTTCCACCAAAATAAAGGGACACCTCCATTTACAAGGCAATGTTCAGGTGTATAATGTAAGGATCCCTGCTGCGATGAGTAGCTGGCAACCAGCGGCAAACGGTTTCCCCTTCACAGCTTCCTTGTGGGCGGATGTTCGCACATCACCAATTCAGAAAGCTCCTGCACTTGAGATGCACTCGGGCCTTTCCTGGAAAGCCAAGCCAAGGCCGGCACATCTCTTGAGGTGCTTTGTTGCACAGAATTTGCATTTGCAATCACAAATCTTTGGACTCCTCCCTCCACCATTCGAAGGTTGATTGTAGTGAACCCTTGGCCATGTTGGGCCTTTCTTTTGGATTAGAAATTATATTGAAAGGGGGACTGAAGAAGGAAGAGATGAGTGAAGAAAGAGAACAAAGGACCGACTCTATCTCTCTTCTCTTTGCCACCGCCATCAAACCATTGCCTTTCACACCTCAGAAGGAAACCAAAGTAAAAAGTCAATAGACTAGCAGACAACTGAGTATTGGTAAACCAGATAGACAACATGATCAGCAAGAATGAACAAAATGAAGAGAAAGAGACTGACAGAGTTTTTACATCTGATATTTACATAGCAAATATCGCTTGGGGCGTGTGTTTTATTCGGGGACCCCGCAAAATGGCTTCGGTGTTCCTTCTGGTTGTCCTTTAAAGCCTCCAACAAAGGGTCAAGAGCAGACAGGGCTCATATAGGGGTACCCTTAAAAGACGAGAGAGGCGTATACTTCGGGGGCATTGTACTTAGTAATTGGGTAACCATGGTTATAACCCATTTCCCATGGTTGCAAGTCTCCTATGTGGGGATGTAACCAGGCTTTCATGGGGCCTTGGGGGGGAGGGAGGGGAGGGGGAGGGAGCCCAAATAAAGGCTTACTACCCTTTGGATGTCCAGAGGCCAGTCTCGCGCCGGCTTCTTCGGCACTCCGAGCGGCTCCTGGCCCAGCGGCGAATGGCAGGCCTTCCCAGCCGCCGCCGCCGCGAGACCGCCGGCACGCTGCCGCTGGGATGGGGAAGGGGGGGGCCTTCAGCGGGAAGGGGGGGATGGGGGTAGGGGGGTGGGGGGGTTGGTTGGTTGGGTTGGGTGGGTGGGTTGGGGAACCCTGGCCCCCTGGCCTCCAGGTTCAAGGGCTCGGCGCCGCCCGAGGCGCGCTGAGCGCGGTGCCGCTGGATGAAGCGCTGGCGCGCGGCCACGAGGCGCGCCTGGGCCGCGGCGGCAGCCCAGAGGAAGCGCTGGAAGTCTTGTCAGGCCAGTCGGGTGGATGGATTGGGGGGGGGGGGGGGGGGTTGGGCGGGGGGTCTTTTGTTTGTTTGGTTGGGGGGTGGGTGGGGTGGGCGTGTGGGGGCGGCAAACATGGGGGTTAAAGGAGCTAAGGAACCTTAGCCCAGTGGAAAGAAGCACCTGAAGTAGTTCCGTTAAAGTTCAGCGAATCGTCGAAAAAGAAACAAGAGCGTATTTTCGACCCAAAGAGCAGACGTTGCGACATCCGGGGCTGACAGTTCTCAGTCGCAAGCGGAGGATGCCTGGAAAGATCACAGGGAGGGCAACTTGAGGAGGTGGCCTTTGCTCTAACAGTGCCTTGGCCTTGGCATCGCGGCTCATGTGGGTGTGTCTTAACATGGGGGACCCCCCAGAAAAATGGTGGTGTTCTTTTTGATATGGTGGACACACTAAACATGGTGGGGGTTCCTTTTGATTTCCTTTTGGAACCACACCACAAAGGGTGCCAACTGCAAAAAAGACATGTTTTCCCTTGCTTTGCGTTTGTACCAAAGGTGGCCGCGAAACCAACGCAAGGCACAGACAAAGAAGCGCGGCGCTTCTTTCAGCCAGATTGTAGATTTACACCAGCCATCAGCTTTTTCAATGTTGCTCTGTGAAAAAAAGAGTGCCGCATAAGGCGCGCGTGCGCAATGCCACGATGTTGCTTGTTTGGCGCAGAGCTTGATACTGACCTCCTTGTTTGGGAAAAAGAAGTGGCATCTCTGAAATTGGTAGAAAGGCGTGGCTGTGGTTTGATGAAGTTTTGAAAGTTCAATGAGTCATTCTCATCAAAAGCGACTTATCTCCAACTGTGTGGTTCAAGTTGGGAGTGTACTAGCGGTGCCATCATGTGCAAGCCAGTCGCAATTGGGCAATTGTCACAATTCACCTGGGGTCTTGCTTCCACCTGTTTTTTGCATGGGCTCCATGGACGCATAGATCTTGCACTCGGGTTTTTAAACATAGGCAGTTCCAGAACCTTTGCATATCTCCGACCTTTGGATAGAAAGCGGCACTCCGTAAGTTTTAAGGTTCCTTCCATCCCCAAATCTGGGGCCACACCGTCCAGGCTTGATTTCAGAGGCATTGAGAGGATTCCGGGACCGTACTGGGTCGGAACGGATCTGTCGCATGGAGCTACAACTTGTTTGCATGATCCAGCCCTAACTTGGAAACTGGAACTAAGGGGCAGGGCTGGACTTCCTTCAGGGGCCCTGCGCTTGTCAGCTAAAGTCGTCAACTTAAGGCATCTTCAAGCCCTAACTTAAGGCATCTTCAGCAGTCCAAAGTGTTTGCCGCTTGGAAGCTTGCAACAACCCTTTGGTTTTTCTCTGTTCATGCGGTTATTGGTGGAACATCAGGCTGTCAGCAAAGTGCCGGATTTTGAAACAGTCGGGTCCACAAATTCAAGCAGTTGCCTTCATAAGTGTCACATGCATGATGTGCAGATGTGCAGCTTGTTCGGGGGGTTATGGTGTGCCAGCTTCGACCATTGCTCGAGAGCTAAACCTTGCGACTTGGCTCAGATGTTTGCGCCGGTGGGGTAATGTCAGCGTGTGACCGAGCCAGCGTGGTGTCCGAGCGTGGGCCTTCCCGAAAGTACTGATTGAAGCTCATAGGTGGTGCAACTCAGCTCGTCCCGCAAGCGACGGGAGAAGTCCCAAAGCCAACAACCAACTGAGCAGCGATCAAAAAAGAAGCGAGAAAAAGCAAAGGAACTAAAAGAAGACACAAAACTTGCAGCCCCAAAATATGACAATTTAGCCTTGTAATTTTGGTCACCGCTCAAGCCTTCAATCCACGGCATATCTAACTAGGTCCCCCAGTAGTGCCCTTTACTTTTTTGGGGGGGAGGGTTCCCCTACTAAAATAGACTACTGAAAAAACAGGGTACCAACTTAATCTAACCACTGTACTGGAGAACCTAGACTTTGTCACCATGGGAAGCCATTTTGTTTGTTGGTATTTACAGGGGAATCATCAGAATTCTCAAGGTTTCTTAGGTGGTGCTAACATACCGACTTGCCTGAAATTTGAGGAACTGGCAGCTGCGCAGCGCTTGCTGAAGCAGCACTCAGCCGCAGCTGCGGCAGTGCAGCGAGCGCTGGAGCTTTGTCCCAGCCATTGGGAGGCCCGGAAACGGACGAAGCCAGTTGGGGGGTTGGGCTCCTCCAAAACTATGTTTAACTTGGGGTGTGTGTGCTTTGTTTGGAGTTGGTTACCATTGTTGTGGTTTTAAGGAAGAACCAACATGTTGGTTAACAGGAGGGGGGGGGGGTTGGCCCGGACTTGAGTGTCGGTGATGGGGTTGAGGGGATGGTTACGTTTGGATTGCGCTGACTTCTGGCAGGCGTACGCGGGGTAGTTCTCGGACATCTTTGACTTCCGTCAAAGCACTGCAAGACACAGCCACACATTGACATATCACTGGCCGGAAACGCGAGTATGTGGTCTATGGCATGTGTCGTGTGGTGACAGCCTGGGCACAGCTTGCGCAAAGCCAAAAAAGAAGTGTTTCCATCAGGCATTCTGGAAGTTGCGCGCAGCAGCTCGCAGACGCCGACATGACAAGCGCCCGCGCAGCGTGCGAGCAAAAAAGTATGCGAAGATGAAGTTTGTAGCCCAGCTCCGCTCTCAAACAGCCCGCCGCAGCAGCCCAAGTGCATGGAAGGTGCTTGCTGACTTTATGGGCGCGCGGCTGGAAAAATAGCTCAGGCGCAGCCAGCTCTTCTCAGAAGGTCGGACCCATCATGCGCACGTCCAGAGGCTTTCTGCAGCGCTTGTGCTCGAGCATATGCTGCGCCTACAAGGGCTTTGCACAACCCAACGTAGACCACGCAGACATCTCTTGGCTTCTCGCGGCCCCCGAAGAGCAGCAATCTACAGCCTGAGATCACAAAAGCGCGTGTGAGAAGTGCCACGCCTGCCAACGCTGCGTACCCGAGTTCCTAAACACGAGTACGCAGGTTCGACAGCGATTGGGAGACACAAAAAACACCGTTATTTGTGGTGCGTTTGCATACTCCGGACTTCACGTCCTCTGCGCCTGCGCTAGTCCGGGCTAACCTCCCCCCCCCCCCGCCAACCGAACATGTTGGTTTTTTAGGAAAACCAACATGTTGATACATTTTGAGGGGTCCCGCCATGTTGAGACGCACACACACACAAAAAAAAATAGGGGCCCCCAAAGCTAAGAGGAAACCACCCACCTGAAGGGGTCCCTAGTTTTGAGAAACACCGACGTGGACCAGAAGCCAAACATCTTTGACTGCTGTGCGTGCAACGGGCCAAGTTTTGCTGGCAAGGCCTGACGGGGACACGAAGCGCTATTCACAATCCAAGCTGCACTCCATGCCCAGGCTGATATAGGTAGCCACGTAGCGCAACATATCACGAGCCGCTTCACAGATTTAGGCGGCAACACATGAAATTGCAGCTTGCTGCCAGCTCCTTACTGCATTTCCGCTTGCAGTCGCCAGATGCGTCAGCCTTTGCACGTTGGGCTTCAGGTGGTCACTGATTGAAGCACCTGCTGTGTTTGCTTGAACTGGGCCAAACGGTCAGGCATACTTGGAAGCTGCCTGCATCCACTGTGAGCTGGGTAACGAGAGCGAGGCAGGAGACATCATCAGATTTTCTGTCAGCGCTCATCAGTTCTTTCAATATACAGGCGCTCTCGGCGAGAATGATCACGCAGGAGGTTTTTTTTCCAGAGGTGCAAGTTGTTCGTGCGCCGTCCTTTTATAAGTGCCAACCTCCAAGAGGTTTTCCACCTAAGGGTCTTAGCATCCCTCTTTTGGACCTTTGGTTCCATCAACTGAGTCGAGCCTAGCCAACTCCGTACGAAATGACATGTGGTTTGAGTGGCCGAATCTCAGGGAGCCTACGTTTTACTCCGTGCGTTCGAATCACGTGGTGCTGATTCAGTTGTCTTCCAGCTTACCGTGGAAGAAAGCCATCCAGCAAGCATGGCTGGAGGGTGATAGAGGGGATGGAGTGCGTCTTAAAGGCAATCACTCCTGACAAGTCTTTATTACGCACTATGTTGCATCTAGACCGAAAGATTCGATTTCTTGCGCTGGATGCAGGAAGGGCAAGAATGCGTAGCAAGCAAGCAAACAAAATAAGGTGTTCTCTCCTCTGCCTCCCATCACCTGGATAGCTTCCCGCTTTCCGGTTCCAAGCAGTCACACCTTTCTGGGCTTGCCGCTAGAAGAAATGTAAAAGCGGTCAGGGTGCCACCCATTTCGACAAGCCCAAAGTCCTCCTTGGTACCAAAGGTTGTACACCACTTCTTTCCATCATGCTCCAGCTGATATAGGGGCTGCATAGCCAATTGTCCAACTTACTTACCCTCTTGCCAACAGTCAATCATAGAGGTGGACAAGGGGCAATTTCAAGACGGATTGTCTTCCAAACTTCTTTCCACTTAGGTTGGTCACATGGAACCAGAAGACCCCTTGGAAAATGTTGTCTTTCCCCTGAAATTCAAGCCAGTAAAACAATGGGGGTTCATATTTCACCATGGTCCTCATCCAATTTGGGTCAACCAGGTCCGAATGAACTTGCATGGTCCGAATGAACCCATTCAGCTGTTCCTTTTCATGTACCTCAGGATGGTTCATTTTTTCATGGCAAGGCATCCAGGGTTTCAACCTCCCACCAGGCGACCAGTTTCACCCTCCACCCAGGCGACTGGTTCGGACGGGCGGGTCCCACGGGTCCCACGGAGCGGTCCTTAGGCTCGCCTTCGCCTGCGGCAGCTCTTGGTGTCGCGGGAGGACTCGCGGGCAGCGATGGCGCTTCTGCAGCTGCGGCTCAGCTGATGGAGATGGAGCGGCTGGGGGCGGCTTCCGGTTGCTGAATGAAGATTTCTTTTGGGAGGGGTACTTTTTTGGGGATGTGTGTGTGTGTTTTTCTCGTTTTTTTCCCCCGCTTTGGCTTCTTGGCTTCTCGGCTTCTTAGCTTTTCGGCTTCTTATTTCCCCTTGTTGGTTTGAAAGGGGATCTATCTGGAAATGCTTATTTTTGTCCAGGGGGCTTGAGCAAATGCAAATGAGTTTCTGTTCCCAGCCATCCGGTGCCTTAGCTTTTTAGCTTTTTAGGTGGTTTAGTGGTAGTCTCTATTTACAATTGCACTCTTGGCAGGGGATCTGAGGACAGCCGAGGTTTGCTTCTGGTGGGTTGAACCCTGGTTGATATACTTGGGTCCCATGGAATGGGGATCCTTGGGTTTAAATTCAGCAATGAGGGGATGAGGGGGTCCAATCGGTGGGGTCTTTGGCAGTTGACCCATCAACTGCCAAAGATCCAGAAATGCTCCGTATCCATTTGGCTGTGGCACTGTAAAGTCGTACCTAAAATGGCACCTTTGTAAATGGAGCCAAAGACTAAAAATCTGCGGTTTGCCCGAGCGGTTTGATTTTGAGCCACACCCATTTAGGAATCCTTCATGTAAAGACCCAGCGGTTCAGCCCAAATCTGGTGCTTGGAGTTGCTCTTGATCGGGGGGTTACGAAGCCTTTGGGTTTATCCCTTTCGGTTGTTGGGTTTTCCCCCCCTTGGACGGGAACAGTTGCCAATTGATAATGCAGATTGAAACGGGTGCTCCCAAGGAAGTGCAGGGTTCGCTCTAATTAGCAGGGCACACATTCCTGGTTCCCGTTCTCGAATACCGGCATGCTGTCAATACTGCCAAATAGTGCAGGCTCTGCATGAATCCGCCTAATGCATTGCCGCAAAAAGCGAAGATGTCCGGCAAAACTTGGGACACCCCTGTGTTGATAAGCCACAGGTTTAGAACTGCTGGGTTCCTGTTCGTTGACGCTGGTGTTCAAGGACCTGTTTTGCAAAACTGGGCGCATAGGCTCAAAGCGATCGAGTCGCCTTGTTGGTGTGGTGAATCAGGTTGTGCTGGCTGGATGTTTGGCCATGCTCAGCCAACTGTTTCCACTGAGGGGCCTTCCCACATTGTTGCACGAGACTACTGCAGTGTTTCTGACACAATTTGGTTGATTTCTCCATAAGGCCCCCTGGCATGTGGCGACCATCTAGCAACAAGGGCACAAGCAACTTGGATATTTGTTTGCATGAGTTGATGAGTCATCATGTTCAGTGTTATCTCGTTCGTTTGTGAGCGCCTGAGGCCGCCACATGACTGGCTGCAGTATCATGCAGAAATACCTCTGGTCGCCGAGTACATCAAAACTGTGCAGCCCGGAGCCGACCAGGTCGCTCAGAAGCTCGACCAGATCACATGCACGGTTGCTCGGACAAATGTGGGGGTGTAAGTAGATGCGTGCCCTGCAGGGAGGCTGAGGAAGAGTGTTGGTTTACTTCTCAAGTGCCTGCCATGATGTTTTGTCAAGTTGGGCCGCACCCAGCCTGCAGAGTGCTGAATGATGCCATGCTGGGCACGTCTCTCGTGTTCAATGATTTTCTTGATTGAGATGGTCAAAGCATATCGCGAAGGTTCCCCGTGGCCACGGCGTGACCAGGCGAAATGTGTTGTTTGCTTCTGTTGTTGCCGCACGGTTGAATGATGAGAGGGGTGGGCATTCGCGGAGGTGTGTGATCCTGTGAATCAAATTAATATTGGGCGAGGCAAGCAAAACGAAGCTCGACTTTGCCATGTCGCGAGAAAAAAAAAACAGCTGCTAGCTAGAATCTAGAAGAGTTGATCCGGAGGCTTCAAGAAAGAAGCCGTGCAACCTAGGAATTCAAGCTTGAGGATCAGCGAAGAGAAGTTCATGCACATTGGGTGGTTCCCGGCATCAAGGCCAAAGACGTGCGGGTGCAGTTCAAGGCAGGCTCTCGTGAAGCCATTGTTCCGCAA